GCATGAACGGATGCATGGCAGTAAATCTGTCAACGATTGAAAGAAATCCACAAAGTTCCCGGAAAAATGGGTTTTACCAAATGACAGCGTTTTTTTTTTTTTTAATGAAGTATGGGGGGGGGGTCTGATTTATGAATATATATATTATAAATTTATATGATAAAATATTCATCATAAAATTTATGAAATTCACAGTATAAAGTGATATATTTTGAAGCTGACTTATTATTGATTGCACAATATATTTAGTTATCTTCATATTAATGTTTATCTTCTGACGTATCATATATGTTGTTTTATTAGAGATTATATTATAACATATTGTATAATTTATATACACCTGTCATAATGTTGCTCAAGTGATAGTTGTAGACAAATCCTGTTTCACAAAAGGCGATGATCTTCAGGTTGCCGTGTAATTAGGCAGCTCACGTATGCCATGCAAATGTACATGCTCACCGTCGCCGTCACCACCGCTCGTTATAACACTTCAATCGACATGTATATGTAAATATATGCAAATGTCGTTACACTTGTGATAGTTTTTACTTTCGCCCATTCTCTCGATAAATATTTATAAACCTTTTCAATTTGGCAAATAGATTGAGATTGTAACATTTTCAAATGACGTCAAATTTCGATCTCTGATCGCTGATTGGTCAGTTGAATTCAACTGCCATTTGAATTAATGAATATTTAAAAAAAATCAAAGCAATATTTTATATTTTATGCGTGTGTTCACTATACAATCTGTGCAAACCATTGACAAACCTAGTTGATATAACTAATATTTACGTACTCTCTGTTGCAGCTTAATTATCTGACCGTTTTATGAGCACGGGTCATTTTCTTTTTATGACACCTTGTAAATTCTTCATTTGTGTATTACATGAAATATAGAGAATGAAGAATAAAATATGAAACGTGATTAAGTTGAACGTCTCTGTTATTGATATCTACAATTTAAAGCCGCGCCCACAGCTTCGTATTCGATTTTTACATGTGTCGTATAGGTTGGATGGAACCCCTATCGAATACAACGTAACGTTGGTGGCGCTTTAATGTAACACTGGGGGGAATGATGCCGAAAGTAAGGTGTGTTAGGGTATTCTCGGAGTAGACGCTTAATATGCTGAGCTATATCTGACGTCAGAGATTTGACTTGCGCATATCCATCCAGTCATTGTAGGTCACGTGGTTTCGAATTCATTTCAGATGTATTTTTTTGAGAGGCTCAGTGTGGCCAAGTGAGACGTTATGAACCTTTGCGTAAAATTCCGTTTAATTTTGAAATCTCTTCTCGAAGTTTCAATTTTTAACCACGTTAAAACAGTGTCAATTTTAGTACTTATTTTATTATTAATTTAATGTTTTGTATACTTACATGTGTGTATCTACTTGACCAATGATCCACACAAATTGAAGAAAAACAACGTGATATTACCCAAAATATAAATAGAATTTCCGTACAATAATGAAAACATTATATTGCCATGGTGTTGACGACATGACAGTGTTCCAGAACTCTGGAACTAATTACTGGTTTGGTACGCATTGGACAACTAGAGCAAAACAAATGCGTTACGTTAACGAGACTTTCGATATAACTAAGAGGTTGTTTGTCAGGAAACTGTGCAAAAGCTTAAGAATGCATGTTGGTTATATATATATATATGCTTATCGTTTAGATAGGGTATAGTAAAAATAGCAGCATACTCAATCGCCAAAGTAAACTTTTGTCAACTTTTACAAAATAAAACCTAAATAATTGTTTTCATATTTTTCTTACAATTTTGAATAAAATTATTATAGTAAATCATGTCCATTTGGTCTAAAATTATTCATAAATATATAAGAAATACAAAAATGTATATGAAAATATGCACAATATTGCACCTAAAGTTATGGTGGGAAGGATTATATAGCCCAATGGATTAAAGAGGCAAAGTAACTTTCAGCGTTTTTGAGCATATATGAATAATTTTGTTAAATATTACATCTTGATGGAAACATTAGTGTATGATTCGTCTAATGATAAAATTGCTAGTTTGCCAGTACACATATCATTATTCGCTAGCGAGAATAATAAAAAACACTAGTCCGCGTGTGCTTCGAATTATCCGTAGGCAAGGGTAAATCAGGAGCGCAAGCGTAATGGAGATTCATCTAATGGAAACTGATATGTTTGTTGCCAAAATTACTACATTGCCACTTTTACTAAATTGTTGGATATTGATAACGTCTGCCTAATTGGTAATCAGGATTTTAAAGCGCGGTGGTCGTCGCGCAGCGCATGTTGGAATTTCGTGTAAATAAACAATGTATTTCACACGCGTTGTACACGTCGCTATGAGTCCCATAACGAACAGGACGCGGCGCGACGACTGCCGCTCTTTAATCACGTTTAATTATTTAAAAAATATACTCCATGCTTCTTGTGTGCTAGTTTCTCTTATTTTTTAAGAGCGATGTCTGGTGCCTTCCAGCTGATAAAATCGTTCAATTTCAGAGTCTCATTTCTTCGCACTTGTCGCCCACGATTGGCAAAATCCGACCATGATGAATGTAGAGTTCGTATGAATAATTTTGCACCTAGGGAAAAAGTCACAAAATTAACCAGTCAAACCACCACGTGATTAAGCATATATTGATGTAGTCACTCCTTTGCGTTAAAGTTATGCGTGAAGGTCCTGAATCTCGCGCCCATTATTTTCACAACAAAATGTCTCAGAAAACAAAAACAAATCTCGTATAATCACTACGACAACATGTTTGGGACCAATGACAGTTTCGAATTGCACTACGAGCTCGAATTTACATTCTATTCATCGGACTGAAATAATTGAACAATTGGTTTAGACCTAGGGGGTCAAAATTAATGTTTAACCCGACAGACAGCAGTGTTTTCGGTGGGTTACGATAGCATCGTTTTAATATGTATATACATGTTTAAATACGATTATTGTTTCATAAAATCACTGTTTCATTTCACCCTTATGTAGAATGGACTATTCTTCTTGACCTTCAATCCCTCCTTGGAGAATGGAGTGTTCTCCTTATAGATGTGCTACTTCATACGGGGTAAGCCAAGCAGGGAAATACAATTAAATTGTTCTCTTAATCTATTTTGCACAAATATAAATTGATGTGGATTGTATTAATAACATTAAAACTTACGATTACATATCTCCTGTTCCAATATAGAAAACATGTAACCATCGTTTTGCAACTTTGCAATTTCGGGATAGTCTTTATTTTTGATATCAGCAGCGCTTCTGACCCTTGGAATTTTAGCATCTTTGAGTATCTTGACCATCCTCTGAGAAATAATGATGTCAAGGCGAAAGTATATCGATATACATGTATATGATATATCGATGTTCACAAGAATTATCGTTAACTACTATTTTTTCAGCGCTAACGTTTTTGAGTGTTTAAAAGACTTGGATAAATCCTAAAGTATTATGTAATGTTACTGTTCTGTATGCGTTCCAGAAAGAATTATATTACATGACAGGCGATATAAATAAATACATATATGTAACAGGCGATATAAAAGATAAGATATATGTAACAGGTGATATAAATGAATACATATATGTAACAGGCGATATAAA